CTACCCATGTGGTCCTGACTTCAGCTTGGCCAATCACTGATCATTGCAGCCATCTGGGGAGTGAACCAGAGGATGGAAGATCTCTCACTCTGTCTCTCCCTCTCTCTCACTGTAACTCTTGCAAAAAAATAAATAAATAAATCTGAAAAAAATAAAAGCCTAAGGTAACTGAATTAGTTCTACACAAGATGAACATTACCAGAATTACTTTAGCTACTACCATTAAAGATTCTTTCTACAGATTTTCTGACATTCAACATTTTTATATTGTTTGTTTATTTTTATTTACTTGAAAGGCAGAGAGAGAGAGAAACATAGATAGATAGATAGAGATATATCTTTTATTACTGATTCACTCTCCAAATGCCCACAATAGGCAGGGCTTGAGCCAGGCTGAAGCCTGGAGTCTGGAACTCAATCCAGGCCTCTCACTTGGAAGGCAGGGACCCACACTTGAGCCTCCCATCCTCCCCAGGTACACATTAGCAGGAAGGGAGGATCTAGAGCAGGGCTAGGACTGGGGCCCAGGCATTCTTAGATCGACACTGGTGTCTCAGGCAGCATCTTCAGCACTGCACCAAACACCCACCCCTAAAATGTTTTATTGCTTTGGAATAATTTTAGATCTAAAGAAAAATTCCAAAGATAGTGGTTTTCACAGTTCCCTCTAATATTTACATCTTATATTGGGATTAGCAGACACAAGAGGTCCATCCTCATCGGGTATTACTGAATAATCAGCCTCAAATGGGAGGTGCTCAAAGGAAAGCTTTTATACCTGTGATGAGGAAATTGCCTCTCTTTAGAAGCAGTTTGCCAGGGCTTTTATAGCAAGGGCTGGGGAAGTGTCCCAGCAGTAGAAAAGGGGAAACGGGAGGGTCTTTCTTGCTTGTAATATGCATCCCACATGTAGACGAAGGGGAGTAGGAGGACCCTTCCTGTTAAAGCAGTGTACAGCTTCATACATTGTAAGTTGAAAACTGTGACTCAGAGGCGTGGAATTGGTGCGGTAGCAGAGACTCCACTGGAGAAGCCCACATTCCTTATCAGAGTGTGTGAGTTCAGGTCCCAGCTCCACTTCTGATTTTACCTTCCTGCCAGTGTGCATCTTGGGAGCCACATGTGATAGCTCAAGTAGTTGGGTCCCTGCTATCCAGATAGGATATCTGGGTCAAGTTCTAGTGTCCTGGCTTTGATCTGGCCCAGCCCCATGCAGGCATTTGGGAAATGAAGCAGCAGAAGAATTATTCCTCTGTCTGTCTCTGTGTCTCTGTCTCTATGCCTTCCAGAAAATGAAAATAAACAAATAAAAAAGGTTAAAAATACCTCTGCCTCAGACTGGCTTTTGCAGCTTTCATTGGTTGACTGGTGTTCTGATCCCCTCTGAGTACTTCCAAGATAAACCTTCCTAGAATATCCTTTGAAAATGAAGCTCTGATGAGCAAACACAAAGTCTCTGCCCCTGTTTTTGTGACCTCCTCTTGCTTACACCCTATACTCTTGGTTCCTCAACTGTTCCTCAATTTGTATTGTCTGAAATTTTCCTTATGGCTAGATGAGGGGGAAGGCAGTTAGTGGCTTTGGAGAACTATCTAAGAGGTGAATGCTGGTGAATGCACAGGTTTGGAGGCCTGCAGTATGAACATGACTTACATTGGTGATGTTAAGCTCCACCAGTTGGTTAAGTGGTGTTTGTTACATTTATTTAATAAACAGTGAGTTTTCCCTCTTTTTATACTTTGTTCTTTTGATGCAAGACACTAGATCCAGTCACAAACAGGGAGAAAAATCAAACTCCATCTTTTGAAGGAGGAAATAACTACTTACATTATTTGGAATTATTCTGTAGGGAGATGTGTCCTTTTTCTTCTGTTTATTTATTCACTTTATATTAGTATGGATTCATGAGTATTTATTTTATACTTTAGATTATAATATAATACCCCATTATTTCATTTTCTAATTAAATTATTTCAGCTGTGTACACTTTGAACTTCCAGTTGGTTCATCCCTTTGATATGTTCTCATATTTCTGTTTTATGAGAACTTCTTTGCTATCTGGTACACAAGATGCACCAAGATAATCTTTATATTCCCTGTCCCAGACCTAGAATCAGCTGTTTCTCCAAGGATTCCTGGTTACTTGTATTAGAGAATGCTTTCAGAATGAAGATCTGGGTGCTGGGTGTGCTTGTTGATTCTGAGGTATTACTGTTCCCAGAGCATCTCAATGGGGAGAGTGATAAAATATATATGGACACTTACCCATGTATATACACGCTTCTGTAATTATTTAGGCCTCTATATACTAAGGTAATCATGAGTTCAGACTGACATCTCTAACCTTAATCCAGTACCACTGGGTTAACCTAGCTTTCATTCCTTGCTTATCAATGAGCTTCCTCTCTCATTGTGACTAGTTCTTAATATCCATCATCCACTTACTTAATATTCAATTCCAGACATATATTTAAAGTGGGTTGAGAATTAGTAACCTGAACATCAGTGAGAAACAAATTTAACAACTTGAGTATAGTTTTTATGTACATTTCCTTTTGCCTTTAGCTTTATAGTTGCCCTTTAGAACACCATTTGACAGTTATTTAAAACAGCTTCTTTTTCCGCTCATCTGATGTCATACATTTGTAATGGAGTTAGATTCATTTGTAATAGTCTGTATCCCATCCTGAGATCTCTTGACATTCTGGTTAAAATTTTTAGTTTATATATATTAAAATTTGCTTTCTGACATACAATTATATGAGTTTTGACAAATGCAGTGAGTCATATATTCACTACTCCAGTACCATACTGATCAGTCCCATCATCCTAAAATTCTACAGAAATTTTTGTTGAGAGGGTGGACTACTGTGAGAAAGCACAAGGAACAAAAAATTTTCTCCCACACATTTGGTTCTATCTGTTGGTGTAAAGGTCAGTTTATTGCCATATTTCCAAAAACAGTTTTTAAAGTTTGACACACACCATTGCCCACCAAGAACTCATAATTGCAGCTATAAGAAAGCATTCATGAATGAATGTAACTATTAGTTATCAGTTACTAGTTTGTTTCTAGGGTAACAAATATCTAAGGCTCAAATCTTGTCTTTGAGAGAGTAACTCACTGAAGAGAGGAGGCACTTCTGTATATGATCTAAGATCGTAATGACTACTTTTCATGGATCTCAGTCCCTCACAGTGTTGGTCATTCCTGTAGGGAAGATAGCCCCTAGAATATCCAGGCCATGCTAGCTTTTTAGCGCAATAATCAAAAGAACCAAGCACCCGGGCTCAGCTATGATTTGAGTTTGATTTCAGAGACAGATCTGAAAGGAACAATATTTGCAGCTAACGTGCAGATCAGTGTGTAGCTGAGATTGGAAGTATTGTCACTATTTCACTGTGTACGGTTTTGGTATTTTCATTTCATTTTAGTTTTTATTTGGCTCTTGTTTTTATTTATTCTCAGAGTCCTATAATTCAATTTAAGGGGTTTGAGTCATTAACATGGTTGCCATTTCTGCTTTCTCAAGAGAGCTGTCAGGGAGTCTAAGGTGAGACTTGGACTAAATAGTTAAAATGGTGATTCTTAAATGTCATGAAAAAATCTGAGATCATGTGCTCTCAGTTTATATTGTTAATTAAGCCTAAATCACCATGCAACAAAACAATGATGTTTTGCACCAGAGTTTGTTGGGTTGAATTATAAATTCTATTTGAGTTCCTACACTGTATTTTTTTAGCTGACTCATTTTGGAAAGTTATTTAATTTCTCTGAACTTAAGCTTCCTCTCTTCTATTTTCATATGGTTAATATGAAGATCAATTGATACACTGCACTTGAATATATTCTTTACAATATAGGTGTCTTTAATTTCCTTAGATGGTTGCTTATTTAACAGGGCTAAAGATAAAGAGAAGTTAAAGTTTGGAAAGAATAGCAGCCATTATATTTTGAATGAAGAGCAGCATAGGGACTTTCTCAATCCCATCCCAGTGAAAACTTCCAAAGAATCCCTAGTGCTCCCCAGAACATGGCTTGAGACTAATGTAACTAAGTTCTTTGTGAACCTGGATTATCATACATACATCTCTGAACTCCCACTATCAAGTGAAGAAGTATTTATTATTTCCTGTCCTCAATAGGGATAGGATAACTAAATCTAAAGATCTAAACCTCTCATTTTACTACTGAGACTCGCATACATTCATCTCTGAACAGTTACCATCCAGCAAATATATATTAAATGCTCCATATAGACATGAGAACTAAATCTGAAAATTTAAACTTCTCATTCTCTGTTGAGACTAAAATTGAGGCAATTTAATATAGTGAAGATCATATAAGTTGATCACAGGATGGCTAAGTTCCAGTCTATTCTGAATTTGTTGCATTGTCCATAGAATGGATACTACTGAAGCTCACTGTTGGACTATGAGAACTCTCCCAAAAACTTTTGTCCTGCCATTTAATCAGTTGTGCTCCATTATAGTTTTCCATTTCTATTCTTTTAGACACCTACTATTAAGGAATGGCTGCCAGAATATGTCTTTAAAAGAACAAAGGAAAGCCATTATCAGGCCATAGGATGTTTCATTACATCCCTTTTTTTCCCATCAAAACTCTGTTATAGTTTATGGGTGTTGGTGGACTCTTCTTCATTCACTTATGAAAATAATATGTAAAAACCCAAATGAATATTATTATTTAACAGTAATTAGACATTGAATATCCAAAACTATATTAAATAAGGATTAAAATCAACTTGTATAAAAATTTTTAACATGTAATAGAGGAAGTTTGAATAATTAATACCAAAACATAGTCAGATAATTTTTAAAAATTAATTTAACTTCTTATAAACTACTGGAGAGAATTCTAAGCTATATATTATATCAAATTATATCAAATATTTATCAATATGTATAAACAATTTTATTGCAACACTAGCTTATTCCTAAAAGTTACTTAAATATATATGTTTTCAAATGTAAGAAATTCTTATATTCCTGGCTGGCATCTTATAGGAGATGGTCATTCCAAGAGGACTACCTGAAAGATAATCCTTTGAGTGTTATCAACTATGAAACTTTAAGAAAATTGAAACTGCAAAGTGACAATGTCATATGATTAAATTTAATTCATAACAGCTTAAATGTACTCAAATTAATTAATATTATTAACCATGTATTCAGGAAATGTGGATAACCCCAAGTTAGTTATTCTAAAGGAATGAATTATCTCACTATGCATTTATCTACCCACCTTTTCTTCACTTTTCCTTATCTGTGAGAGCATGTGCATGTCTCCATACCTGAAACCATGCATGTGTGGAGGGGGCCAAGTGTCAGCATTCAAGGAATAAAACCACAGTTTGAATTTACCTTTCTTCTAAAGAATAAACACATTTCTGAAAACATTTGCCCTTCAGAATAGATAACTAAAGTAATAAACAAACCTAATAAAGCTATTTTTTAACCGGAGTTAAGAAACTTTAGAGGTGAACTATAAGTGCACAAAGGAAAAGAGGTGTAAGAGGTATAAATTTCTTAGACATTCACATAGAGATAATGAGGAAAGAAAGAAGAGTAAAGAAAGAGTAGAGGAGGAATGTGTGGAAGGAAACTAGTAAGACAGAGGAAGGAGATGAGATATTTTTGACATGTTTTGAAAAATAGAAGACATTAGCCAAGCTGAATTTTAAAGTCTTGTCTACTAAGGTAGCATCTAGCTGGAGTGGATATGAGAACTTCAGAATGGTGGGTGCTGTACTTCACCTTGGTTCTCCTCATCTTCAGATGTCTCTGAGGTGCTGGAAGACTCAGTCAAGTCTGCATCTGTGACCTCAAATACAGGACTTCTTGAGCGCTGGTGACCATCTCTCTGTGTCAGGCGATTCACAAGTAACCGAAGCATGTAGCTATCTAATAGGCCACTGTGGTGTAAGCTATCTTCAACTCGTTCCTGCTTGTTCTGCTTGATCACATTCTTCAGCCCAGTAAGCTTAGTGCAAGTTTTAGCTGTGGGTGCCCAGATCTTGGCATCATGATCGAGGCCACTGGTTGCCATCACAGGAAGGTAAGGGTGAGATTCAAGACAGTTTACTATCCCTTCCTTGTCCCCTTCCATGAACTGAATGATCTGACAAGATGATTTGTCCCAGAGGAAAATGTGTCCACAATCACTACCGCTCACCACAAACTCACTCTTGGGGCCATAGAAATTCACACCTTTTACTGTGGCAATATTTCTGTGCCCTTTATATCTCTTAATATATTGAGCGCCATCACTGTGAGAGGGATTGAAGAGGTAAATATCTTCATCATTGTAGCTGGCCAGGAGCTCTGTGGCATCATGGCTATACACAAGGCAGGTGATACTTGTCCTGGAATCATAGTCAATGAGGTGATGAGGACAGAATTTCTTAAGTATTCCATCATTCTGATTCTCATCAATTTTCCTCTGGTCATAAATCCTTACAAACTCATCTTGTCCACCCACTGCAAACTCATAGGTATTAGTGGGATTCATATGGATTGTGTACAGACCCACTTTGTTCTCCCTGTCTTTTGTTACCACCACTTTTGAAGCTGGTTGGTCTTGTCTGAGGTCAATGGTGAAGACAACTGCATCTTCACCTGATGTTAAGAACTTAAAGGGAGAGTCTGGATCCAGAGCCAACTTGTGGGAGGCTCCTCCGTGCTGGGCCACACACTTAGTATTCTGGAGGCTTGGTGCAGTATATAATGTTGCCACCCTCACCTGCCCATCACGAGCACATGTGGCAATGATCGAATCTGAGCAGTTAGGAAGGAACTTAGCCTGAAAGACATTATTTCTGTGACCACTCTCAAACTCCAGGACCGGTTGCTGCTTCATCCAGTCCCACACTATTACTCTCAGATCATCACTGCTACTGGCCAGCCAGGTGCCACGATGGTTAAAGTGCACGGTATTGACACAGCCAAGATGGCCTTCAAGACCATACTGTAGGCATAAACGCTGCACAAAGGCTCTTGCCCCACAGGCCTCATACACAAAGTGGGGACTTGAACCCAGCTGTCGCTGATGAAGAGCAGTAAGGATCTGCCAGGGAGGTCGGGGTAGAGAAGATGTCTCCCAGGACATCAAGTCCTCTAGGGACCCGTCATCATTTGATTGACACTGCTTATGGATAGCCTCACTGCACTGTGCACTTGGGTAAGGAATTTCTTCCTCCTCTTCTTCCTCCTCTTCCTCCGATTCCTCCTTCTGTTTCTCTAAGTGGTGATGGGCAGGACCTTTCATATTGATGATGAAATGCCCGCCCAAGTCCCTCCCGCTGTTAAAACTGGTGTTTTCATTTGAACTTTCTTGGTCTGGGTCGTCACTTTCTGCACTAACACGGCTGGGGACACCATCATCCATATTTCTGCCATCATCTCTGGTCAAACCCAAATTCAGTTCTGGGGCCTCCATTTCAAGATCTAAGGTTGTATCTATCCCCGCCTCCGCTCCAGACCTTGCCTCATGACTGACGATCAGGCTTCCGTGTCTAAAGTCTGGTACGCTGTCTGTGCTGCTTTCTCGGCCAGACATTCTGAACGCCGTTTGCTGTGGCTGGTCTGGATCAGAGAAAAGTGGAACTTTACGAAGCTCAGGAAAGCAGGCGGGCCCACCCTGGAAGGCGATGGGCCGGAATAGAAGAGAATAGGCTAGCGGTAAGGAACAACGCCAACGTAGTAGGCCAAAGGGGGAACAGAAATACCCGGATGAAGCGGTTGACCGTATGGAAGCTGGCGATGCTTCAAACACTCCTTCCCATCTCACCTCGCGGTGTTCAGAGCTCCACCTCCAAGCCCTCTCAATGCCGTGAGAGACTGTACATGCGCTTCTTTTGAAAATTGAAACGCTGCATTTTGGAAAATATTCTTATTGAAGAGTCATCAGTTAAAGTGACTCGTCTTAGACAAAATAGTTTTTATAAGCCTATCAATGCTATGCTTGAAGATAACATGCAGTAGTAAGAAATGAAGATAGAGGCAAGAGCAATTAAAGGCTAGCTAAGGACGCCACGGTGACTTCTTGACATACAATAAATAATTCAAGTAACTTGAGAGAAAACTTAGAGACTATGAAAACTGATACAGGGCTGCCAGATAAAACACATGATGCATATCTAAGTGCATTTCCAAAAAACAATATTTTTTTTAGTATGGGCAATTTCAAATATTATAGTAGACAAACTTTCACTAAAATTGTATTCATTATTTATCTGACATTCAAATTCAACTTGGGGTCCTATGTTTTTATTTGTTAAATATAGCAGGCTCCCTTAGTGAGAAGAGTAACCAAGGCTAAAATCAATCAATTTAAAATGGACACTGAAATGAGTAACAGTTCCACCAGTTTGATACAGAAATGTATCCTTTTTCTTTCTCCACCAGAGATTCTAAATATTTATTTGGAGTCAATTCAATTTAAGATACTTAGAGAACATCAATATAATTTTATTAAAGCATATTATGTTTTATAATAGAACTATAAAAATATTTTATGTATCTCCCAAACATGTGAGAAACTTATTTTGGGCCTTTTAGGAGAAGAAAACAGCTCTGCAGAGACAGCTAATTGGCACTGCTATGTTAACTTCAGAGCTGCTTGGAATGGATTATCTAAAGCGATGTGAATACATTTTAGAACAGCTAAGGCACACTGCAAAGAATTTAGGAGTGGGAAAAACATGATCTCCTTCAGAATAATTGCAAGATGATCACAAAATTGAGTAAATACAAACAGAAGTATAAAAGAAGTATGAATTCTGTAGAAAGAGATCTGGTCTTAAGGCTAGTAGTAATGAGAAGACATGTCAAAGAATATTCATAGAAACTTGTAAAGAATAGCATAGCAACCTGGGAACCATCTGAAAATCCATCAGGAGCAACAGGGGTAAAAAAAATCAGCACATTTTTCTATAATGGAATAATATAGAGAAGTGAGAAGTAAAGAATTAAAATTGAATTCATCAGCATGATGAATCTTAAAAAACAGTGATGAGTGAAAATACAAGTGGCCCAAGGATAGTTAATAACTTTATTTTTATGCAGGTCTATATAGTTTTCATATGTAATAAAATATTTTAAAAGGCAAAGAGATTATTTGGGCTAATAATTGTCTTTTGAGGGAAGAGGAGGTTGCAATCTGGGAGAGAGTGATTCAAAAATTCTTGGAAATATTTATAGCTTACCCTGTGTATAAGTATACTGTTATTCTTTTTGTTATTTATTACCATGCATATATATTCAGATATTCTTTTATGTATGATATACTGCACAAAAGTACTATGGTTTTTTTTAAAGATGTTATGTTCATTAACACAGGCTCTTGCTCAACCATGGAGTACAAAGTCAGGAAATCTAGAGCATCAAACCATGGCATGCCCATATTGGCATTAGGCAGGAGAAGAAGCCTTATTAATAGACTTTGAATATATCCTGCCTATTGAAGAAAGTTTCAAGTGTTAGAGGCTGAATCAGATTATTTTAGCCTCATGCTATTGTACCAATTTTTCTTTGTGTTTGCTCATTAAGCAAACTTTGAATACAGAACTTTTCATCTAAATTTAGCTTTACATTTAATTGATTAATTTGGTTTATTTCCCACACTTTTCATTCATTTATTTACTACATCTTTTTTAAGGTCTTCTATGTGCTACAAATTGTTTTAGGTACTGATACTAAATTGGTGAATAAAAGTGACACTTTTGGAATGACGCTGTGGCACAGTGGGTTAATGCACTGGCCTGAAGCGCCGGCATCCCATATGGGCACCGGTTCAAGTCCTGGCTGCTCAACTTCTGATCCAGCTCTCTGCTATGGCCTGGGAAAGCAGTAGAAGATGGCCCAGTCCGTGGGGCTCTGCACCCAGGTGGTAGACCTGGAAGAAACTGCTGGCTCCTGGCTTCAGTACAGCTTCAGCTGTTGCGGTCAATTGGGGAGTGAACCATTGGGTGGAAGACCTCTCTCTCTCTCTCTCTCTCTCTCTCTCTCTGCTTCTCCTCTCTCTGTGTAACTCTTTCAAATAAATAAATAAATCTTAAAAATAAGTGAAACTCTTTCCACTCATGGGGTATATAATATATAGTGGAGAAAAGAAATAATGTACACACACACATGCATATATATATATATATATATAGAGAGAGAGAGAGAGAGAGAGAGAGATTTTATTTATTTGAAAGGCAGGGTGACAGTGAGGCAGGGAGAGGGAAAGAAAGATCATCCATTAGTTGGATCACTCCCCAAGTGGCTGCAATGGAGCCCAGAATTCTATTTAATTTAGTTTCCCACAAGAATGGCAGGGGCCCAAGTGCTTGAACCATCTTGTGCTGCTTTCCTAAGCACATTAGCAGGGAGCTGGATCTGAAACAGAGCAGCTGGGACTGAACCAGTACTTGGATACAAGATGCTGGTATCGCAGGAGTGGCTTGACCTGCTGTGCCATAATGCTGGTCCTCACTTAAATATATAAACAGACCAGATGAAGCAGTGTTGAATACTATGGACAGAAATAAAGCTGTGTAAGTGGATATAGAATATGGGTTGTTATACTAGATAGTGCACTCAGGGAAAGTCTCTTTTATGGGGTGACATTTAAGTGGAGGGCTGAACGAAAAGAGAAGTGGCCCATCAAATATACAGGTAAGAATGTTTTCTATAGAATGACTTTGTGTGTGAATTCTCTGAAATAGTAGCACAACTTGAGTGTTCATGGAAATTCAAGGATGCACTGTGACTGATATAGAGCAGGTAAGCCTAATGGAGAGTGGCAGGTGAAAGGACTGAAAGAAACCACAAATAAACTAAGCAAAACCTGGATGGCCATCTAAAGGAATTTGAATTTTTATTTTATTCTCAGTGTGCTGGGAAATCTTTGGAAGCTTATAAGTAGGGGATTACATTATGTGATCTACTTATTAAAAGGATGACATTGGCTTCTGTGTGGAGAGTAGCATGAAATGGGAAGCGTGTGAAAGTACTAAATGATAGCACAAATACAAGTGAAAAATTAAAGCAGTTTAAACAAGGAATGAAAATGGTTTAGGTGGTGAAAATTGGTTGATTGCAATGTATTTTCTAAATGGAAATGTTAGCATCTGCTTGTGAGTTGAATTTGTGAAGTGAGTTAGTGAGGTTACTAGCATAAAACACACCGATTGTGTAATTTGAAGCAGTTCAACAAGTGAAATTTTTGCAAAGCTGAGAGCAAGCTGTTGGGAAATCACAAGGGGAAGATTGAGACTTAAGAATTGTTATGAGCAGGAAAGTATAACACCCTGAAGCCTAAATGTATAGAGGAGAGGAGAGTAGTTATGAAAAACCTGACACATAAAGGGCATTGTGGAGAGATGAGCAGACATTAGGCATACTTCTGTGAATCCACTGGGACAAAATAAGGGAAATAAATGATTTAGATTCGTTCTACTACCTCTGCTCTCCTGTTGGTGCTTCCCGCTGAGTCATGTAAAATAGGGAGGAGAGGGAATCTGGATGGGCAATAGTAAGCTACCAACCTCGGAGAGACAAATAGGAATCAATGGTAACTCCTAAATGTTTTCCAGGAACCATGGGGAATAGTGGTGTCATTTACTACAAGGAAGGCTAACGATGGGAATGTTTCATTTTTATCACTTGTAAAAATTTTCATGAAACACTGAGAAAATGAAAGCATTGAATTGGCAATTGGATATGCATGCCTAGGAGTTTTCATGAAAGATTATAAATATAAATTTGGAAGTTACTGGAAACTGGACATCAAGGGGTGAACACAAAGTGAGAAGAGCAAAAATCTGAGGGATGGCTACTGAAAAGCTCCTAAATTAATTTTAAGAAGAAAAGAAGAAAAAAAAAATAATAAAGGGTCTGGCGTTGCGGCACAGCAGGTTAAAGCCCTGGCCTGAAGCGCAGACATCCCATATGGGTGCCGGTTCGAGTCCCGGCTGCTCCTCTTCCGATCCAGCTCTCTGCTATGGCCTGGGAAAGCAGTAGAAGATGGCCCAAGTCCTTGGGCCCCTGCACCCACGTGGGAGACCCAGAAGAAGCTCCTGGCTCCTGGCTTTGGATCGGCGCCGCTCCGGCCATTGCAGCCAATTGGGGAGTGAACCAGCAGATGGAAGACCTCTCTCTCTGTCTCTACATCTCTCTGTAACTCTGTCTTTCAAACAAATAAAATAAATCTCAAAAAAAAAAGAAGAGAAGAAGAGAGGTGCAATAAAAGTGTCTAGTCATGCAGGAGCAAAAGTGAAAATATAAAGGAAGGAGTAATCAGGTGTATCAAATATTGCTGAGAGGTTAAGCTTGCCTGGGAACTGACCATTGTTATATATCCTGAACTGTGAGTCAGTCATTCCCTTGCCTTTTAAAGTAGTTTTCTTTCATATGAAACAGGCTAAGGAGTGACTCCTTGGAACTTTTTTATAGCACTTATGAAAACAAATGCCCAGCCAGTAAAGTTTCAGGAGAGAAAAGTGAACACAATGAGTAGAGAAAACCTTATGAGGAATTTTGCTGCAAAGAGGAGGAAAGAATCAGAGTAACATCGCGAGAAATGGGGTTCAGTGATTTTTTTTAAAACTTCAAGGCTATCACAAGATGTTACATGCTAATGACAATGATTCATTAGTGAAAAGGCAAACCATAATGAAGGGCAGGGAAAGTATCAGGAGGATAAGTCTTAAGTGGGGGAGAGGGAATAATATACAACACAAAGGTGCAGGACTTGTAACAAGAGGGGAGGCAGATATTTGTCTTAGAGGCAGGTAGGCTGTTAGATCTGGTGTGGAAGAAAGTGTATATTCTCTTCTAATTGCTTCTATTTCTGAGTCAATAAAAAAAGTCAAAGAAATGATCTGTGAATGAGGAGGATAATGCTTTACTGGAATTTTGAGGCAGAAGAAGGTTTGTAAAAACCAAGTCAGAGAACAAGAGAGTGAGTCCATTAGAGAAATGATATATGGTA